GGCAAATCTACAGGTACAAGGATATTTTCCATGAACCTTAAACGGGATAAACATGCAGAATCAGTGGGAGGCACACAATAAAGAAGAATTGTAAACTCAGTTAATAACGACAACCAAAAAGTAAAGAAGCCACAAAGTAACGAGATATTTGAATGTCCGGAGTGCGGAAGACATCAGGTATCGGGATTTTCAGTCTCAGAAAAGCTCATGAAAGAAAACGCCTTTCATAATCATCTTCTAATGCGTGTCAAATACTCGTCAGCGAGTAAAGGCGGTAGTAGTAGTATTAGATATCTGCTATAATTTATATTTTTTGGAAGTAAAAACTGTTGCTAGTCTTGTCGGAGGACCTGGCAAAACTGTTATTTCTAAATAACAGTTGGAACAGAACTGTTACTGTAGTCTTTACATAACATAATAACTAATAAATAACCGCGTAATATAACAATATGTTTTTATGCATACCCTCACTATCTATAATTTTCTACTTATTTAAACTTTCAAATATGACCAGTTAAACAAATAAAAACCTAAAATCAGTATGTCTACAACCAAGAACTGTTGTAATTCAACAACAGGACTACTAACTGCCTTACACACAAGGCTATGCACTACTATTGTTTATAGAAATTAACAACTGTTATTTCCAAATTACGGTTGTAAAATAACAGATCGTTAAATAACAACTTTCGTTACTTATATCTGCAAAATCCTACTGGAATTTTAATATTCTTCGCTTAGATATTGAAAAAGTGTGTATGTTTTTACTTTTTAGGTTAAAATCACAGAATATTTTTAATTTGTAATTAAAATGGTTATATTTAGACACATTTCAAAATCATCAACATGCATATTTCTTTACGTCGTCAGGGAAAATATTTTTAAATTATATGTATTTTCAAATTAAAATAGATTAGACCAAATTGATAAAAACATAATAAATGCAAAATGCAAGTAAATACATTTATATTTATATTTTTTTAAATATTGACAATATTTAAAAGCAATTTAGTGCAAGGTTATAACATTGACCCGTTATATTTTTCTACCTTTATTTTTTTCTGAAATAATTTTTACTCTGTTACAAAGTGTACAAAATGAAGTCATCATAAACGATAAAGAATTGCACAAGGTATAGAGTAAATATTTTGTTTCTAGTAATTTATTAACCCACTTTATATAGTATTTGTTACTTTTATAGATAATTCAACGTGATTATTATCAGGTAATACAATGATTTGGCACAATTATAATAGCTAGTTGTGGCCTCTCAATAGCCCTTTAGTAGGGAGAAAAGCTTAATAAGCTGATTTTCTCTGATACACTATTTTTACCCGAAAAAAAACGTGGTATTTACCGAAACTCCCCCCCCCCCCACATGAGATTTAGTGTGATTCGACTTGACCCGTCCCCCCTTGATTACCTAACGTTAGATTAGAATATAAAAATTATTAAGTTTATGGGTGTTTTTATTTTAATGGAGCGTCTTTTTCCCCTTTTCTCAGTCCCAATAAATATCGAACTGCTCTCTTTTGAAGTTTGAAAATACGATCAAATCTTCTTGTGCAGTTTAAGTAATATTTTCAAAAGTAAATAACTCGGGAACGGTTGGTTTGAGATACATAGTGTGTATTTCGATTTTTGCTTAGAATTGAAGGAAGAACCGAAATATGCAATAATATACAGGGGGTTCTATTTAAAAAAATGAAACGTTGATGTACCACGACTTTATGACCGACCCTGTATATTTAAAAATATTACCCGCTAATAGATATTTATAAACCTTATAACTTTTATATTTAACTTTTTGCGGTACCTCCTATATTTTACCTAATAATCGACCGTTTCCATAGATAACAGAGCGACCCTGTATAAAAAAAGACCTTTTAATGCGACCTTTATGTACGTCACAATCCTTCTACAAACAAACTTTATATAGATATACCCCTTTCTCAAAGACGTATGTTGACGTTGTCGTCATCAACTCCCATTACACAAACAAGTAAACTCCAATATACTCACATTCGAACAACATCGACATTAATCCCAATTACTTCGCAATACTATATCGAATCCCCCAGATACTAACCCATCTACTTCGGCCGATGAAATACTCTCTGTTCTCGAAGTATTTGTTTCCGAACTTGTCCTCGCCCACACACTGGCCGTGCCTCAGGCTGTCCATTCGGTATATTTTATATAGGGACGCGATGATTCCACCATGCTCCTTTACTGTGTGGAAGAATCTGAGTAATTCGGTTATACCGAAATAGTCCATGTATTTCTTTACGTTTTTATTCATTTTATAGAAGGACAATCAATGTCAGTGTCAACTGAATTGACTTTTCCAGGTTGCACCTTGTTGGAAACATTTGTTTTTGTGCATTTGTTAATGATTTTTAAATCAGATTGGTGGTAAGGTAAGCGATCTTATAAATTTAATACTTTATATTGTTATAATAGGCAGGGGCGGATACAGAGGGGGGCCCATGGGGCCCAGACCCCACCTAAAATCTATAAATTGGGTTAAATATCAGGCTTTTGGGTTAAAAATGGCGCACTTAAATGCATATTCTACATTACTTTTTATTTGGGCCCACCCTAAAATAAATTTCTGTATCCGCCCCTGATAATAGGGTGAACCAAAAAAACTAACGTATGGAATTTATGGATTAAAATGAACCTAATAACCGAGAAAAAAATTTCGCCGACGGCACGATTTTTAGCTCAATTTTAAAAGGTGTCGGTGAATATTCAAAGCTTTCCATTTAAAAAATAGGTAAAAAATCTTTTTCCATAAAAATACCATAACTTGGAAACGGTTTACGATAAAAAAAATTACAGCGTGGATTCTTGTAGAGCTTTACTAAAAAATCTGAGGGTAGTTTTTTTCAATTCAATAATTTGTATATTTGAAAGCTTTGAAAAGTGAAAAAAATCAAAATATGTAGAATTAAAAAGAGTGTATAAATTATTTCAAATGCAATAAAGAAATAATTAATGAACATAAAAACTATTTTTTTTGACAAGTCTACATTATAAACAATATTTTTTAACAATATTATTCTATTTTATTTAATGGTTTTTTTTTGCTAAATATGAAAATTTTAAATCAATGAACACTAAAAAATTTTGATTTTTTTCACTTTTTAAAGCTTTTAAATACACAAATTATTGAATTGAAAAAAATACCCTCAGAGAGATTTTTTAGGAAATTTTATACTCTACGAGAATGCGCGATATAATTTTTTTTTCGTCGGAGAGCCTATCCCTAGACCCAATAAGCGACATAAGCTACCGTTTCGTCTACCCGTCCTGGGTCAACCAGGCGGGCTAGACGATCCTCTGAGAGTAGGTTTTAGCTGAGCAGAAGTACGGAGATAACTCCGACTGCTCCACGAAGGACTTGCTCCAGAGGAAGCAAAAGCGAAAACACTCCTCGGAAAAGGAGAGCGAAACAGCCGGTGCATCTCCACCAAAGGGCAAGAGAGGGAGCGAGAACCTCTCACCTCTGCTCCGGCATGGAGAAAAAAAGCCAGGAGGGAAAGCCGTCCAACACCGGGAGGGGGATAAAACCATCTACCTGCTGAGCCTTAACCAGGCTCAGAACTCCAATGTAAGAGCATCGAGTTGGCGAGTCATCCACTCGAGGGAGGAGGGTCATGGTCAGGTCCTCACAATAGGAATTGATCTCAAATCCAAGGAGGCAATAGAGAAAGAATCCTCTACTATAGATACGGGACAACACAAAAGTTAAAGAGGTGGAGAAAATGGAGACAGATCACAGATCCTCCAGCCTCCATCTCATAGGTACCTCAAGCACCTCGACTGTGAAGGACACTGAGGGCCAAACTCCAACCGTGGGTCTGTAGCTTCGGAGGAAGAACATCTGTTGTTAGAGGAAGATGGGAAATACAATACAACAGGAAAAAAAAGAAATGTATGATGGGTTATAGACTGTGTGATGATTTATAAGTCAAGGGGGTCACGGTAGATCTTTAAGGTTGCAGCGATTAACCCCCCTCTCACTCATTCTACATGTATAAAGAATGAAGTGAATACTACTTCCAACAAAGAAGATGAAATCTTTACTCAACAACGGATACGCCACACTTATCAAGTATCATACTTGGTAATTGATAAATATCTATATCTTGTTAACAGAATATTATTCTAGTTATTCTTGGGTCTATCACTTATCGATTGACAAGGTTTTATTTGCATAGACGTTTAGTGCTTTGGTTTACTATTCAAAGACGCATAATTGGAGATTTTAGATATATTATAACCTCTGCTTCAAAATCAGTCTTCAGTATTATTTTTATAATACGTTATTATTAATTTTCTTTAACATTTAACATCATATTTTTCCTGCTTTAAAATGTCAAAGAAGCGCAAAAATCACCTTTTCCGTAACATTGAACTCATAAATTTTGTGCCTCTTTAACCTATTACAACAGAAAGTTAAATAGACGTTAATCAACATTGATAATAAACATCTATCATACATCCAAGAAAACCTAAAAATGATATTACAATAGAAACGCTTTTCATTTTTGTGACTAGGAAAAAATTGAATTGTATCTAATACTGCTAATAGTTTTATTTTTTTTCTCTAAAACGGCATGGACATTTGGAAAAGTTTAAACGGGATGGACCATTTTAGAATAAGCAAAAACTTTTATGAAGGGTGCTGCTTACGAGCTTCACAGTACAAGAAAGTTATTTTAATTTAGTTTATTAATTATTTTACATTTTTCGTAGTGTCACACCTCTTATGACGTTTTAATAGCTTCTAATGCCACCAGGATAAGTGATCAAATATGATTTATTAGCGTTTAAATATATATGTGTATATATTTTATCATTTTGATTATAAATTATTGAATGTCACAGGTTAAAATTAATCCTTGGCTCTACGCTTGCTATAAAATACAAGCTTTTCTGATAATGTCAGTATAACGGAATTTTTTTAAGCACTTATCTCTTGTTTGGGTAAAAGCATTTTCTTTTAGTCTAGTTCGAAGTTTTGACGAGTGCATTCTTTATACGTATAATTTAGTCAAATATTTCTGAATATATGTGAGTTTGCTTGTTTTAAAAAATTAAATATTTACCATGTTTTAAGTAAAATATTGATTTAACTTCATTTTCTTTTTCAGGTAAGTTCTTTCAACAAAAGTGATATAGGGATAAATGTAAGTAAGTAGTTATTAGATTCAGTAAGACAAATTTGTTTTTCGTATTTCATATATTTATTATCTAATATGTCAAAATGAGTTTTAAAAATGCCAATTTGTTTATTACTTTCGTAAAATTGTATGTGAAAATGTGTTCATTATTTTATCTCTCTTATTTAGCAGATTCTTTTTGTCAGTCAAAATTCAATGTATTTTTTGCAATAAATATTATTTTGATTATCAAAGTTTTCTTATTCACAATGTAAATCATGATTTAAATGAAATCTAGCATGAAATTATTCAAATCTTAGGTTGAACCACACTATCGTAACTAGCAATTCACCCTAGCGGGTGCGAGTCTAGAGTCTAGGGTTGAACCCAGGGAGAACCTAGGGATTTAAAAAAAAAACATGAAGAATAATATCATTAAAAATTAATATATTTTTTGAATAAAACGTTTTCATGACTTTCTCTATCAATAAATTTGATAGACTTGGTTATCCACCCGTGTTACCGTGGATTACTTGTTATCCATTGATACGATGGTCCGACGGCGCTCTGATTGGTCATAGCGTTTTCACGCCACTTTTCATCCGTAAATTTTTTACTCCAGACCGTCAACGGAGAAAGATCGTACGATCATAGATAAATGAAAGAAGTTCAGATTGGAAAGTGCCCATAAGAACAATGTAAACACTATTTGGCGCTATTCTTGCAACGGTCGCGATCCAAAGCTTTTGATAATTTCGGATCGGTTCGGCTTTTTCCGGAATTATGTCTCCAAATATTATTTTCTTTTAATTTTATAAATAAAATACAGTGTGTTGAATACAAGAAACTTTATTTTATATAAAGGCATGTATGTGAAATACCTATGAAACATTGTAAACCGACGTTATGCCACGATCCACGATGGTTTTTGCAGTTCACAGTTCACAACACAGCTTTTTAAGTATTTAATGCCACTTTTTCACAATTATCAGGGGTTTTGAGTAAATAAAAATTAAATTAAACTCACAAGTTAGCAATAATTACTTTGAGAATGGACGATTTAAACACTTTTCGTCATTTTTTTCAATGAGGGCGGTGTAAATTTTGAAAGATTTTATAATTTAAGATTCTGACTTTGACAAGAGGAAATTATTTCTGTTATTGTTTGGCGGTTTTTCTTAGCAACCGCTATAGCAGCGCCAGAGAATAATATATTTTGACGGGCTATCAAATCTAAATTTATTTCCTTTATCTATGCGTACGATAACGGACGTTTTGACACTTTTTTGACAAATTTAATCAAACCTTAATAAAAATATAATATTACAAGATGAGTACAAGAGCTAGTAACGTCGGGGAAACGAGAATTTTAAGAAAGCTCGTTCTTTAATATATATTTTGCTATGTCCTCCTTACCAAAATGCGGGCCGTCTGACTAGCGGTAGACTAATGCGGTTCACTACTGCGCCTCACATCTGTGCAGGGTAACCCGTTTTCGTGTGTTTTGTAGGATTTCTCGTTTATGAGTGACAAGCACAAGTACAATGAAGTCATTTTCATATTACTTTACTACTTTTTTATGAAACTAAATATGCTGCACACATGTTTGTCCTAGACTCCTTAGTTCCTGAAATACAGGGCGAATTTGTGATGCGCAGTAGTGAACAGATGTTGAATACAGATATGATGCGCAGTAGTGAACGCAAGGTCTACCTGCAGCCAGACGGTCCGCACTCTGTTCAGGAGAGCGTAACAAAAGATATTTTAAAGAACCAGCTTTCTTAAAATTATCTCCCGAAAACGTTGCTAGCTCTTAGACTATAAGTAAAACGGCGAAATCGTTATGGAAATGAAAATATAAAACGATACCTATCAAAAGCAAATCGTTTTAAATTTTTAAACAATTTAAAAACTGCATAATTTTCTAACCAATAAGTCTTTAAATTCAACCAATATTATTAATATCGTGTCATCGTATCGTCGGATAATGGACGCATGAAAATCAACCTTGATTCCATTTTTCGCCAACTTCAAAAAATCAGTTTAACTACAGCTTTAAACGAGGCGATTTAAAACTGTGGCGTGAAGTTAACTAAAGATGACAGTTAATTTTGACATTTGATATATGTTGGCAGACGCCTACTATGTTTCTATATGCAAAATCTAAAAGACAAGCCTCGTATAATCGGGAGAAATATTCCTTTTAATATAGTAATTATTTTTTTTCAAAATTGGAAATCAATTGTCTTGGTACGCAATTGAAGAAACCGTATTCAGATATCAGACAGTTTTCCATATCAATTATTTATGGTGGATCGTCGTCACACGATGTGACGTTATTATTTTCCGATCTAAATAAGGATTTTCATTAAATATTTCTGGCACTATCGATTGTTTTCCGAATTGGAAAAGCCTACATACGTGATCAACGTTGGGTCTTCGTTTCGTGTATTCTCGATACATTTAAATTCCGTTTACGCACAAAATACGTAATCCAAACTATATAAAAGCTTGTCTGCATTTTGCATTAACCATGAACTTATTGAACAGATTTTTAATCCAAAAAATAAGATTGGGAATATTAAAGCAGTAAAAGTTCAATACACTTTGTTCTAAAAGTTTTCCACAAAATAAAAATATGTTTTTGGTAACTAAAAGTATAAATAAGGTTAATAATTTTTGTACCATTGTAGCGGGTTAATTTCTTAAAAAACTGAATATTTTGTCACCAAAATGTCTACAGTTGAGGGTTAGAACCCTCAGTTACATACAGTTGCGGGTTAGAATATTCAAGAAAATGCCTGTTAAATTGTACAAAAATTATATTGTACAAAAATTAAAATTGCCAGAAAAGATATTGTCAATTTTAATGTTACCACATGTTCAACATCGACCCAGAAAGATATGCTTTGTTTAGAAAAAAACTGCTCGTAAAAGCCCACGCTATTACCATGCAAAGATTTTTTGGGTCGACGATCCTACCCAGAAAACCAGAACTAGGGATGGGCCACGATTTATCGATATTCAAAATATACCGATATATTAGAATATTCCAGAAAATAAATCAATATTATAAAATGTAAAAAAAAAATCCGCCAGTTTTCCTGATGGGTCTCTTCCAGATCTCATGTAAAACCAAGTCAGTTATTTTAGTTAGCGTTTATGGAAGCACCTATTTAACAACTTAGTTATAAATTGTTATTTATTTAATAAAATGTAAACAGTTTACAAACAAATATAAAACTGTATTCTTCTACTATTTCCAGTTTTGTATTATTTGATTTGTTAGAATGTCTTTTCTGTCTACTAGTTTGTTGTACATTAATTTAGTTTTTGTTAAATTCATTTTGAGACCTACTTTATTGCTGTCTGTATTTAGTTTGTTAATTTGTGTTTGTAGTTCTTCAGGACTATTGGCTATAGACATCAACGAATCTTAGATGGTTAAGATATTCTCCATCTATTTTTAATTCTTTGTTGGTCCAGTCTGCTTGACGGAAGATTTCTTCTAGTGTTGCTGTAAACAGCTTTGGGGATTTTGCGTCTCCTGTCGTACTCCTTGCCAGTTGGGAACTCTGGGATTGTTTATATATTATTACACTTGCTTTGACTTCTTCGTATATATTGGCTAGAGTTTCTATGTAAGGCCTGACAATACCTTGATTCGTTAGGGCTTCTATAATTGCCTTAGGATATATCGAGTCGAAAACCTTCTCATAGTCTATAAAGGCTATGGCTAGTGGAAGTTCGTATTCTTTTGTTCGGCTGATAGTTTCTTTTAGCAAGGTATATCAATCAATCATGCTTTATTTCTATAATAGGCATTTCTGCACGCACATAGTCTACTAATTAAAATACCTTATTACTTTATAAGTGCACTCGTTAGATTTACTTAGTAATCAAAACAGTAGATTAGTCTTTTATAATTATAGTTTGGTTTGCATTGTGGTTTTCCATTCAGTATACTCAAAAACAATATTTTGTCGGATACCATTAGGTTAGAGTTGCCATCTTTCAAAATAAAAAAAAGAGGACGAGAGGGTAAAAAAGAGGCACAGGCGAAACATATTTTGAAACCTTGCCCAAATGTCTAGAATTTACCAAAAAGTTATGTAAACGTTATACTTGTTATTATTGATGGTTTTTCTTACTTTCTTAAAAACAGTTATACTCAAAACTTGTTAAAATATAACAAACCATTTTCAACAAAACTTTTTTTTCAAAACATATAGTAAGTAAACATAAAATAGTAAAACGTGTTTATCATAGCACTATTTAGACCGTTTAGGCTTTGGTTTAGGTCTAAATAGTGCATGTTTTCTTTATGATAACAAGCACAGACCTTAAATTCGTTACTAGATTTTTCATTTTTCATTGTCATTTTTTAAGGGCGTCTGTCAAAATCCTCCCTTTTCCCACTGGACAGGCTTTACATTAATGTTTTCCCTCTTAAATCGGAAACAAAACTGAAAATTTGGATTCTCTCATTTTCATAAAAAAATACCAATTATGCTGCATTCTGTTGTTAAACCAGGTTAACCGGGTTGGTAAATTACGGTAAGGATATCTGAAAATATCGGTAACATACAGAACCCTGATAAAATATTAGAAATATCAAATAGTGTTTAGGTTTGATATTTTTTCAATAGAGTTGGTCCGAAAATAATTGCACACTCATTTTTTTGCGACAAAAAAGACATCGAATGCCACATAATTGACAAACAATCCAGAAGAAAAACAATTCCGGATAATTTGGTGAAAATACTGACAGATCAGGAAACCGGTTCCCTGAAAAATACTGAAAGTTTCAGAAACTCTAAAATGAAAAATTTCAGATGAAACATAGAAACGGAACAGAAAACCATAATCAAGATAAAGCATAATTATAATACAGGTTATAAATATTTATTCGGGAGGAATTCAGCTTAGTTAATCATAATTGTTTTTAAGATCAATAAATGGCAGGAAAAACAATGCACTTTTGAATAAAAATGACAGTTGTACTTCATAATAATCGATATTTTTAT